ATTTGCAAATCTATGTGCATTCAACAAATTGGTCATAGGAGGCACAATATTTCCACACAAGCGTATACACAAGGCTACATGGATCTCACCGGACCACACTACAGAGAACCAAATAGATCATATTTGCATCAACAAAAAATTCCGAAGGACAATGGAAGATGTGAGAACCAGGAGAGGAGCTGACGTAGCTTCAGATCACCACCTAGTTGTAGCCAATTTAAAACTGAAGCTAAAGAAGAACTGGACAAATGGACAAACAGCACTGCAAAGGTTCAATACAGCCTTCCTTCGAGATACTGACAAACTCAATGAATTCAAGATAGCTCTCAACAACAGGTTCCAAGCCTTACGAGATCTACTGAAAGAAGAAGAAACTACTATGGAGGACAACTGGAAAGGCATCAAGGAAGCATTAACTTCAACATGTCAAGAGGTTCTCGGTCTAAAGAAATACCATCATAAGGAATGGATCTCTACAGAAACAGTGGACAAGATCAAAGAAAGGAAGAACAAGAAGGCAGCAATAAACAACAGCCGAACACGAGCAGAGAAAGTCCAAGCACAAGCTGAATACATAGAAGCAAACAAACAAGTGAAGAGGAGCATTAGAGCCGACAAGAAGAAATACGTGGAAGAACTAGCAACGACGGCAGAAAAAGCTGCTAGAGAAGGAAATATGAAACAGCTTTACGATACAACGAAGAAACTATCAGGGAAATACAGTAAACCAGAGAGGCCGGTCAAAGACAAAGAAGGCAAGCCAATCACCGAAATTCAACAACAACGTAACAGATGGGTAGAATACTTCGAGGAACTCCTGAATAGGCCGGCTCCAATGAATCCACCGGACATCGAAGCAGCACACATAGATCTTCCTATAGATGTCAATCCACCAACTACGGAAGAAATTAGAATGGCCGTCAGACAAATCAAGAACGGGAAAGCAGCAGGACCCGACAACATACCAGCTGAAGCACTGAAATCAGACATCGAAACAACCACAAGCATGCTTTATCTTCTATTCAAAAAGATTTGGGAGGAGGAACAAGTGCCAATGGACTGGAAAGAAGGACACCTCGTCAAGATTCCAAAGAAAGGAGATCTGAGCAAATGTGAAAACTACAGAGGCATAACACTACTGTCAATACCAGGGAAAGTCTTCAACAGATCGTTGCTGAACCGGATGAAGGATGCAGTAGACGCCCAACTTCGAGATCAACAAGCTGGATTCCGTAAGGATCGGTCGTGCACAGACCAAATTGCAACACTACGGATCATCGTCGAACAATCAGTTGAGTGGAACTCATCACTATACATCAACTTCATTGATTATGAAAAGGCATTCGACAGTGTAGACAGGAGGACGTTATGGAAACTTCTTCGACACTACGGAATTCCTGAGAAGATTGTCAATATTATCCGGAACTCATACGACGGACTACAGTGCAAAGTAGTGCATGGAGGACAGCTGACAGATGCATTCCAAGTAAGGACCGGAGTCAGACAAGGATGTTTACTCTCTCCCTTCCTTTTTCTTCTGGTGGTCGACTGGATTATGAAGACCTCAACATCTGAAGGAAAACACGGAATACAATGGACAGCTCAGAATCAATTAGACGATTTGGACTTCGCAGATGACCTAGCCCTCCTATCACGTACACACGAACAGATGCAGATGAAGACAGCCAGTGTAGCAGCAGTCTCTGCATCAGTAGGCCTCAGCATACACAAAGGGAAAACTAAGGTCCTCAAATTCAAAGCGGAAAACAGCAATCCAATCACTCTTGATGGCGAAACTCTGGAAGATGTAGAATCCTTCACATATCTGGGAAGCATCATCGATGAACAAGGAGGCTCAGATGCAGACGTAAAGGCGAGGATCGGCAAAGCAAGGGTCGCATTCCTACAATTGAAGAACATATGGAACTCAAAACAACTTTCAACCAATATCAAAGTGAGAATCTTCAATATGAACGTCAAGGCAGTTCTACTTTATGGAGCTGAAACTTGGAGAACTACAACAACCACAATCAAGAAAGTACAAGTATTTATAAATAGCTGTCTTCGCAAGATACTCAACATCCATTGGCCGGATACCATCAGCAACAGCCTTCTGTGGGAGAGAACAAACCAACTTCCAGCTGAAGAAGAAATTAGGAAAAGACGATGGAAATGGATAGGACATACATTACGCAAATCGTCAAACTGCATCACGAGGCAAGCCCTAACTTGGAATCCTGAAGGGAAGCGAAAAAGAGGAAGGCCAAAGAACACATTGCGTCGGATAACAGAAGCAGATATGAAAACGATGAATTACAACTGGACGGAGCTAGAAAGGATTGCCCAGGACAGGGTTGGATGGAGAACGCTGGTGAGCGGCCTATGCTCCTTCACGAGGAGTAACAGGCGTAAGTAAGTAAAAGAGTAAGTAATAATAACAGACAGAACAAACAAACATGATATATTTAAATGCTCTTCAATAAAATGTATGACAACGATAAGTATTACACGAACCAAGACCTCATAAAACTAATTTTTACTGATTTGTTGAAATGAAATAGAACACATCACCATTATCACAGACGGACAATATAATGAACTAATCAACTAAAGAAGGTAATCAATAGGACTCATTCGTTCTAACCCAGTGTTTGTTCACATAGGCGCATAAGAAATGTACACAAACTTTTATCGCCTAATGCTAAGGTAGGCACTTTTCAAACAGGGAAAGCACACCGCATTGTATCAATATTTTCATATAGCTAACCAATCTTACGGTTAAGTTTAAGGATCTATATCAAAGTTATATGATACCAAATTACTTTAATGAGTAGCGGATCACTTAGAAACACTATATTTGTTTGTTTTTTTGAAAAGCAAAAAATGATGGTCATCTGTACAGGTGCGACTAATTCTTAACCATATCATATAGTTTAACTTGTACTTGTTTTGTTTGAGACCGACAGTCAATTACTTTACATGTTGGTCTGATCATAACTACCTTTCCAACCTATTCTTAAGTTATTGAACAAAGAGAACCCAAGTAGGAGGCGATTTAAGATGTCTTAGTCAACTTAGCCAATGGAGATCTATATCAGACTGTCGAGGGGCAAATATCAAGGCAATGAAAATAACTAAGTGTGAATAAGTAAAATTTTTGATAAAAATTATAATCAATGTTAATTAGCCGATATTAAATATATTCTAACTAGCGAGTATTTATTAAACATCCCTCAAACGAACAGATTATTGATTGAACTGTTAGTGCAATAATTACCTCTGATTTTTTTAAAACATGCATTGAGAACATAGACATACTTTTTTATTAGTGAACTGGATTATGAGTGCCGCAACACTTCTACAGGCACGTAAAAGTCGTACAGCGAATAGATGGGTTTCCCTTCAGAGTTTATTTTTACTGAAAACATAATACATATTTTACAATTAAAGTTTCCTAGTCATCATGTACTCTTATTGAGTTAAATTTATTAATATAGAACTATAATCAACCCATGAAACACAAAATGTTACCCAATAATGTTCATCAACATCGTATACAGAGAACATGATGCGTATATCGGTTGAAACTGCCACACCACATTAACAGGATGAAGTGAAATTTCGGAGTAGCAGTCCCAATATTAGTAGAAGTGTTATGACTTTAAATTGATGTAGATTTCTACCCTGTGTTATCGGTCGATTACAATGACACGCAAACACGTACGGACGGCCTAGAGTCTCGATTGGTCCTGCTTCCCTGTCCAGCCCAGCCAGTTGAGTCCAGAAGACAAGTCACAACCTCTGAGATATGAATCACTATATTTCAAACATACTTTGTTTATATACCAGTCAAGCATACCACAGCGTACCATAAAAATAGAAACAACATTTTGTACAAGTGAACAGATATCGACCAATAGGAAATTCCATTTAAAGTCCAAGGACACCATTGGACTTAACATGATAATTATTGGTCTATTCCCGCGCATCCACAACAAGAAGAAAAGACGATATGGAAAACGAAATATGTGAGATCCCGAAACTGAAGGTCTAGAGTAAGACTGGGAGTAAATGCGATTCCACCGTTGCGAGCGATACTCTGTCATGTTATCCAAAATCTGCATCCATTAGTTACGATAATTTCGCGGACACTAACTAGGTAGTCTACACCTATTAGTATGACTTAGTCCAATTGTTAATAACTTCACAGACTGGTGACACCTTTGAGTTTGGCCACACCTATTTTTATCCCAGTCTACTCATACACTAGTCATCATCATCAAGCATCAAGGTAGGCGGTGTTCAGGGATACGTGACACATGACCCAACTACCTTGGTTAATAAAGATTCACTGCCCATCAATCGATTTGCCTTTACATGCGAATACCACATATTCTTAAAGGATGCGTTTTGCAACCATAAAGTACAACCGAGTGAACTGCTGTGTGGTATAATCGTCTTTTGGTTGAAAGACTGGAATCTCACATCACAAGTGACTAACAACGGCTCAACATCAAGAAAATTAGTTACACATATACTGATGGTCCAATAATTTAGTAAGTCCACGTAAAATGCATGCTATTAACACCTTCAAGCAGTCAGTCATGATCAACGTGAAACCTGGCAAAAGTGTGCAGTAGTTCCAGTTGTCACACTACATAACAGCGACATAAAATTAACAAGACAAATAAACAGCTGTAGTAGTAGTGTCGGTGGTATTAGATAGATTAAATTAGATGGATAATATGATTCGAAAAGAAATGATGAGTTATTGGTATGAAAAGTTAAAAATATTTTTGGAACTCAAGACCTAAAGTAAGATAAAGAGTAAATCCATATGTACTCAAAAGTATCTCGTTTAGTACAATTGAACTTTTTAAGAAATTTCCAGTGAGATATCTGTACTCGAAAACCAACCAGTTCGCGTTATTTTACATTTACTCTTAAAATCATATGATCAATCTGAGGATTTCCGAATACAATCACAAATAAATATGTAGAAAAATGACAATTTTTTACTCACAATCTATTCATTGTTTCAACAAATCATTGAATTACCACATAGGAAAAACAGGAATAACTGCAGTATATACACAAAAGGGTTTCAAAATAAATCACAAAGACGGTAAGTAGGCAATATAACTTCGAGTTATCTTTGTTACAGTTCTATATAAATCCAAACTCACACCATCCATAAAGGTAAATGAAAACGCTGTAAGGTGATAGTGTTTTTTATCATCTGATATACTTAACTCCCCAATAAATTGTATCAAGCGTTCATTAGCTGTCTGACTTGAAAAACATTGTTTCTGGTTTTCAGTTAGATATTTTACATTGACGATAACGCAAGGAATAGCACCACCTTGAAATGGGGACAACAGTTCAACCAGATTGCTATCAGCTTTGAATGCAGAAAATCTACATGCCATATATGAAATAAATAAAGGATTTGTAAAAAAGTTGCAAAATGAGAAATCAAGCTTTCATTCAAAAGTTCAACGTACCTACAATCTAAACAGACTTCTAAATAGAAGACAAATATTAACTTTTAAATAATTATGACACTGAGCTACGAAACACAAACTCCTGTCCGCACATTCAGCAATCAAGCAATTCGACAGTGTTTAAGATATGCTACAGTGTGATAATAATCTACCAAATCTAGGCAAAAAATTCGACTGACTTACCAGGATAAGGGATTTACACATATAACCTACATATTTCCTTAGAGCACTAGATAGGGAACATGTTGAAATAACTAGCCCATGGTTGGAGAAGTTTTAGTTAGCTGGAAACATGTTGATAGACGAGAACAAGTCAGTATAGATGAAAGTTATTAACACTTTAATCCGTAGATATTGACTGTAATCTTGACACGGGCTGCTTGATATATTTAGTTGGAAAGTTTGAATGCTTAACTTTGGTTACTAGGAATAACTGGTTCAGGAGTAGAATCTTCATAAGTAATAGGCCATATATAATCATAAAAGTACTTAAGACGGTTATTTTTGTAATATTTTATTTATGCTTCACTCAACCTAGACTCAACATGGATCCAAGCACAATACATAATTAAACCAATAAACTAGTACACATACCTGCCCAGTAGACGAATATTTAGAGTTTTGTTGCTGGTAATTATGGAGCGAAAAACCTTTTCTTTGGTGTATAGTTCATCAAAAAGGACATAGGCTGCGGGACCAACCTGATGATTTAAGTAGAAAAATCAAATATAGAAGTATTTGTCAAGCACGCATATCCTACACAGAACCTGATAAATGTGTCGCTTCAAGTTCCCATATCCCACTAGGACAGCAAGATCAAATTACCAAGACGAATCCCAGAGTAGTAGAAGCAATAACAATATTGGTAGCAGTAAGAAAGCTCAGGTGTTAAAAAATAAACAGAAAGGTATACGATTTCAGGACATAAGAAATAAGGGTAAGTAAAGAGTAGAAATATCCAAAGTACAACCATTGAATATAAAGCTATCTAAAAATTATGCAATATTTGATCTTCTATTGGGACCTGATATGCTTTTGCAAATATTTGTCTTAGTAGTACTATGTATTGACACTCAAAAGTACAGTTAGGAGCAAACAAACTAAATGCCGGGTATAAAATACACAACGCTAAACAAATATGAAGTGCGAACTTCAAAGATTGACGACAAGGTTTGTAATAAACTTATTTTCTAAACCGAGATAATGAAATTGGAGTGTACAGAAAAACAAAAAAACACTAGCCATTCCTTAGCGTGAGGAAACGTCGAAAGAAACCAAACGGATTTTAAACAAATGTAAGATGAAAACTCGTTTTCTTGGTAATAATACCACTAGACTGACACTGGTAGAAGCTAAGAATGGGATTCCAGAAGGCCAACAGTGACACTACTTACGCAACTAGATGTAGTAAATTTAACCATTAAATGTGGAAGAACTCAAGTAGCTGTACGTTATGGTAAAGGAGTACAATATTTGATACATATTTTTAAATCCTTGGAAGACCTCAAGAAATTCAAGAACAAATGCTTAAATGCACTGTACTAGTTAGAAAGAGAAGATTGACTCTAATGGAGCCAAAATAATTCGGAATTTTTTTATTTATCAGGATTAACAAACAAAGCACTGTCGAGCCCAAACGATCAGTAACGTGACACTGACAATAACGAATATTAAGCTATTTGGTGAATTATTCTGTTTTTGTCATGTCTATCAATCATATATTCATGATCATTTTTTCGCATTAGCATTTCACAGTTAATTATTCCATATAACTTACCTGTTTCTGTGTGAATGCACATTCTTATATTTCTCGTTAGTAACTTGTAGCCCACCAAGTGGTTGATAAGTACTTATGGTCCTAAAATTTGACACATGAACGTTGGTGTGAAATGTAAGTCTTACAATTGGACTAATTACCAGACTTAAGTCTCGTCTACACAAAACCCGAGGACTTCGGATTGTAATATTGATGTATCTGTATCATGAGTGTCATTGTGAAACATTATATACTTTGCAATCGCGACTCAAAATACGACTAGTCAGTCGCATTACGTTACATTGTCAGTGAAATAAGCTACAAAGAAAAGCTGTCTATGGAGACTTCTAGTTTTGACAAAAAACAATGACTCCTTAAAAAGGACATTTTACCGACAAAATATCTAAAAACTAATGTTCGGAAATGGCAAAAGGCATATGCCTTTTAAATATTTAAATAACCTAAACATTTAATGAATTACATAAACGCAAAACTTACCGTATCGTCCATTTTTATAACATTGACAGCGAGCAATGAAACAAAACAGTTCTGTGTAAATAAACGGAAAAGTAGTCAGATATTCTATTCGAGGGAAAAATACTAGGATACAAAGGTCCGAGAGAAAATTGAACGGTAAAATAATGACAGGTCTGTGGAGATAGGCATGACAAACTTATTTTGTAAGTGATTTTTGATGTTATTTGTATTTATTCTGTTATAACAGAAATTATAATTTCGGGCCAAACGAAACATTTTGTAATCAGTTTTGTGGTGGCCCTGATTCCGGGATGGGCGCAAAATAGAAGCTTAACATAAATAGCTCGTTTAGGATTTTTGTGGATGGTTCGATGAATGTACCGGAATAATACAAGAAATATGCAGAGAACCCTGTGAATAAGCAAAATAACGCCCTTTAAAGGTTTGTTACGACCTTCAGACTAGCCAAATAAACATTAGGAAAACAAAGTTAAGAAACTGTGAGTGAACCTCAGTGAAACCAGCAAAATAACAAATAACGTAGAGTTTTAGGTTACTATGATGCTTGACCACACCTCATTAATGACCTTCGAATGACCTTAAAGCGGTCTTGGGAATTTTCAACGATATATTATGATCGAAATAGTGAGAAGAATCGGGATAAGGAGTGAAAGATTTTGATTAGGGTCAGGAAATAAGGTTGAAGTTTTCATCCAGATATAGCATCAGCAATAAATCCCAAATGCTGTGAGTGAATGAATTTCGTGGAACAATTTATGGTTCTCTACCTTAAATTTTACTAGTTTATTCATCTTTAACGTAACTCCCTTGACCCTAAACATCCTAAATGGAACGCCACTAACTACAACAGGACTGAACCCTGTCGTTCCTATACAAAATCTCTGTACCCCGTGATTTCTTTGCATGTCATTTCCTGACCTCAGCTACATAGCATTTTTATAACCCGAAATTTGGTAGGTGATCTAAAAATAAACCATCTTTAGAATCTAACAAACCAGTAACAGCTTTCCATAAAATTGTGTGCGATGGCAGTCGAGTCGTAATTCTATCTAAGAAATCGCGCATAAGTTTGTTCTGATAGATTGAGATTATTTCTTCATGACCGTCACTATGATTTAGTTTGAAGCGGTAAATAAATCCCCAAAATAAATAGCTCTGTAAGTTTTCGACATTGGATGCTGACCATATGTTTTAGTGGACTCATCTAGCTGAAGGCGCTCGGTCATGCATCCGCACCAGATCACTTGTGGTAACGCTGTGCTCAACATCTACCGCAATCGCCAGCCAGATTAGATCAGAGAATTCCGATATATTGGTCATCGCCAAATATACTCTTCCGATCTCCTCGACTCTGTCTTTTGATTTCTCTCGGTGGGTACAAATTATATTAGAAGGTGTTGCTGGTAAAAGCGTTGTTAAACACTGAATACCTGTGCCATCTTCATTGGTGAGCCTAACATGATCTGGTACACCGAATCGCAGCTGTGAGTCTGTTCCTTTTAAGGAATTTTTTATATATTATTGCCTTATTTTTTATACATTGTGATATTTTTCCCCGTGTCTCAGGTTATCTATATATTTTTCACTCGTGTATTCTCGTACTTAATATTCCCCTATGACCGAACAGATTCCTAAGGTATTTAAGATTATGACCATGTCCCCACCCTCGTTCCAACTCATGCCCTTCTGGCCCGACAATATCGAAGCCTGGTTCTGTTACGAAGAAGTCGACTTCCACGAACACGGTGTGAACGAAACACGTGCACAATTCCTCGCAGTAGTCAAGGCACTACCGCGGGAATTCAACAGGTACGTAACACCTAGTATGTTTACTAGTGATGTTTCTGAAACTTACGAAACCTTAAAGCGTTCGATTCTCAAACGAGGAGACCTAACCGATCGACAAAGGTTAGATCAACTCTTTAATAACATAGACCTGCGGCACGGTTCTGCGACGGACATGTTGCAAAGGATGAGAGAGGTTATCGACCAAAGAACTTTCGACGAAGGCCTATTCAAACAACTTTTCTTGTCTAAACTTCCCCAACAGGTGCAAGCGGTTCTGGTCTCGTTTCAGAACAACGCCTTAGACGAACTGGCTGCATCTGCCGATCGTATCTTAGAAATCACCAAATATTCTTATGTCGAGGTTTTTTCAGTCAACTACTCAGAATGACATAACCGAGTTATTTCAATGGTTAAGATCATGAGTCAGTTGAAGCTAGACCACCATGGAAAACCTGGAAGCACTGGACGGCCGTTTCGTCCTATTGTGGGACTCCCCAGCAGTGCGCATCCACGACCTGCCCCCCTGCGAGATTCGAACCCAGGACCTACGCGTTTCGCGCCCGAGCACTTAACCACTAGACCACTGAGCCGGCATCCAACGGTGTTAATGTCTAACTTCAACTAATCCACGAAACTGAGCGACACATTCACCATTGTCTTCAGTGAGTTACTACCTCACAACAGACTTTGGTTGAACTCCACTGGTCACTACTTCTCACTAGAACTCCAGCATATACATCTTGAAGCCAGTCACTAGTGAGCATATGTCGATCAATATCAGAAGGGTTTTTGTGTTTACTATAGTAATCTCAATGGTTGATAATTTCATTTAAAAATTAACGTATATTTATATTTACGGAATTTGTAGAGGTAGTTAAATTTGTAGTTTATATCATAAACTAACCCAGAAAGCACTAAATTTGTGTTTCGTTTCAATATAAAACATACATATAGGACATACAAGACCCTAATAAGAGTCGATATTCAGGCCTTACAACGAATACTATACTTACAGACCATTCAGTTAGCATTCAAAGGCTTACATTACTTACTCCAACTACTGAGGAGTCCCCTAATAGGACGAAACGGCCGTCCAGTGCTTCCAGGTTTTCCATGGTGGTCTAGCTTCAACTGACTCATGATCTTAACCATTGAAATCACTACAATCTCCACAAAAACCAATCTGATATTAATAACCGAGTTGTGTCATACACTTACACGTTATCTTAATTTTCGTAACGACCGTAAGAGATCGCGCACACCACGTAGAAGCATTTCACGTAAGCGATCTGTCTCTAGACCACGAGAGACAGATAACCCCGACTGGTGCTGGTATCATAACCAGTATGGAAAGTTTTCCAGAAATTGCAGAAAACCCTGCAATTTTCCCAACACGAAACCGACTGATTCGAAAAGCAATTCAGGAAACTTCCAAGCCGGCAGGCGTTAACGGCAACCGTAGCCGGCGAACAAAGCCGTCTGTTATTCGTCACAGATTTGACAACGAGAGTTCGCTACCTCGTCGACACTGGCGCAGAAGTTAGCGTTCTCCCAGCAAATCCTAACGACCGGCTTCACGAATCGACTTTAAACTTACAGGCGGCAAACAGAAAACCGATCGCTACGTATGGCAAAAGGTACGTTTACCTTAACGTGGGTTTACGCAAACCCATTCACTGAATCTTCGTTGTTGCAGATGTTTCTATGCCAATCGTTAGTTTGGACCTTCTACAACACCATAATCTAATAATCGATACTCGCAAACGGAGGCTAGTAGACCGAAACACTAATTTGTCCGTTTGCGTAACTTCTTTTACTGGTTGTAGAGTATCACCAGTCACAGTTAAACATATGATAGACCCACTCTATCAACCGGTACTCGATAAGTATCCTGGGATACACCAAACGCAACCGAGATTACCGTGTGTAACCAGCAACGTTACACATCACATCACGACTACAGGACCACCTGTATTCTCGAAAACACGACGACTAGCCCCGGAAAAGCTAAGGTTGGCGAAAAACAAGTTCGATCACATGATAGACTTAGGAATCATACGACCATCAAGTAGCCCATATGCATCTCCATTGCACATGGTCCCTAAAAAGGACAGCAACGATTGGCGTCCAACTGGTGACTATCGGCGATTGAACGCGAAAACCATTCCCGATCGTTACCCGTTGCCTCACATTCACGATTTGACAGCTACTTTGAAAGGTACAACTGTCTTTTCGAAAATCGATTTGGTTAAAGCGTATAACCAAATCCCTATGGCTACTGACGACATACCGAAAACAGCTGTCATAACTCCCTTCGGACTCTATGAATTTTTGCGAATGCCTTTCGGTCTAAGGAATGCTGCTCAAACATTCCAAAGATTCATAGACGACGTTTTTCGAGGTCTCAACTTCGTACACGCGTATGTTGATGGCTGTCTAATCCCAAGTCTGGACAGAGAAACACATCTCAAGCATCTGGACCTTGTTTCGGAACGACTACAAAAACATGGCATTACTGTAAACGTTCAGTAATGCCAATTCGGAACCGACTCATTAGACTTTCTGGGACACACTATCGATGCTCAAGGTATCCGACCCCTTAGAACCAAAGTGGCGGCCATTCTGGATTACCCAGAACCGACCACCGTCAAGCAATTACGCACGTTTAACGGCCTCGTAAGTTTCTATAGACGATTCTTAGCGAACTGCGTGTCACTTATGAAACCACTAACCGACCGGTTTCTTGGAGATGCGTAATCCATCAATTTGGACGAAACCTCACGAAAAGCATTCTCCACAGTTAAGGAACTTATCGCAAAGCCAACCATGCTCGCACATCAGGACACCCGAGCACCCATTAGCATCGCAGTAGACGCATCCGACTCAGCAATCGGAGGAGTCTTACAACAATGGGTTAACAACTCCTGGCAACCCTTGGCATTTTTCTCTAGAAGGTTGCTAGACACCGAATCGAAGTACAGCACATTCGGTAGGGAACTCCTAGCAATGTATTGTGCTGTACGGCATTTCCAACACTACATCGAAGGTCGTGAATTCACTCTTTTCACTGACCATAAACCGCTCACTTTCTCGTTAAGCTCCTCTTCAGACACGTACTCTCTCCGTGAGTCTCGACAACTGGACTACATTTCGCAGTTTACTTCAGATATTCAACATACATCTAGAGCAAACAATGTAGTTGCAGACGCCCTATCTCACACAACTTCCCTGAACAGTTTCCAAGGAACCGACCTTATTAAACTCACTCAGCTTCAAAAAGAAGACAGTGATCTTCAGCACGAGTTATCGTCCACAATCCTCAAGTTACGTATCGAACAGATGGGAACAGGTAAGCACACCTTACTGTGTGACACATCTACAGGTAGGGATCGCCCAATCGTGCCGAAACATTATCGACGCAATGTCTTCAACACATTGCACAAACTTTCTCATCCAGGTGTTCGTGCAACCATCAAACTTACAGCAAAACGGTTTTGCTGGCCTGGCATGAACAAAGATGCGAGAGAGTGGGCACGCTTCTGTGTAAGCTGCCAAAAATCTAAGGTTATCAGACACAATAAATGTCGTTTAGGCTCATTTAAAACTCCCGATGCTCGTTTCGACCATGTTCATCTGGATTTGGTAGGACCTTTACCAGATTCAAATGGATAATCTTATATCTTAACCTGCGTAGACCGTTTCACTCGATAGACAGAAGCAGTACCTATCAAGGACATCACTGCTAAAACAGTGGACATATTGATAGCCTTCCAAATATATAGTTGAAGTCCTTCATTCTTGCCATCCGT